CCATGGAGAGATGTTGTCCGGTCCCACTACCTTTGAGGTAGCAAGGTCACTTAGCAGCTTCTTCACCTCCTCCTCGGGTTGTGTGCATTTCATCCAACACTTTTTGGTATATCCCTTGTTGGTGTACCCCTATTACGCACCCAGGTGATAAAGGCCTGTTAACCTGGTCGTAATGGGACTTGGAGTGAAAATAAACACAGCTGTAGTCTTTAAATTGTATTTTTCTTCAAGTATGATTATAGGTATTTACAATTATGTACACTATATACAAGAGTTGGAATATAAGTGTACCATGGTAACCAAGGCAAAAACAACACCCAGAGAGAGGGAACCATGAACAACCAGCAACTGTATGAGTCTGGCAAGAGTTGACCGTGAGTGTTACCACACCACATCAGCAATTGTCCGACCAACCTTATGATTGTTCAATGAACCGGGGTAATGATGGGGCCTCGTAAATCGTTTAACCCTTAGCACCCGGTTTGCTGGTTGGGAGGCAGCCTATATGGGAGTGTGTACATACACTGAATAAATGTAATGTACTCTTTGCATGCCACAGCCCCTCTGTTCTGTCTTCCCAGAGTTCTTTCTGTCTTCACTGTAAATGCTTCCTTAAATCTTGTGTTGAGCTCCTTACGTACTTCTTGTGAGCTCCCCAACTTCTTTCCTCAGCCTGATTATCTGGTCCTTGACTGTTGTCTTTCTCCTGATGTGGCTGTACAGTGGTTTCAGGTCAGACTTGACTTTCGATGCTGTTATTTTCGTACTGTCGCTGGGCCTCCCTCCTTATCTGTGCATACTCGTTTCTGGCTCTTCGACTAATCTCTTTATTTTCCTTGGTCCTTTGCCTTCTGTACTCTTTCCATTCTCTAGTGCACTTAGTTTTTGCTTCCATGTACTTTTGGGTAAACCAAGGGCTTGTTCTGGTCTTCCCATTATTTCTGTTGCCCTTGGGAACAAACCTTTCCTCTGCCTCCTTGCATTTTGTTGTTATGTAGTTCATTTCGTTTACTGCCTTTCCTACCAATTCTCTTTCTCACTGAACCTCCTGAAGGAAGTTCCTCATACTTGTGTAGTCCCCTCTTTTGTAGTTTGGCTTTTCCCATTCTACTCCTGTTACCCTCTCCACTTGTAACTGTACTATGTATTCAAAGCTCAGAACCACGTGATCACTAGGTCCAAGGGGCCTGTCATATGTGGTGTCCTCAATGTCCGAGCTACTCAGGGTGAACACAAGGTCCAGTCTTGCTGGTTCATCCTCCCCTCTCTCTCTGGTAGTGTCCCTAACATGTTGATGCATGAGGTTTTCCAGTACCACATCTTGGGTCTCCATGTTTTGGGACCCCCATGTGTGTGTGTTGTGAAGTGTGTATTCACCTAGTTGTGGTTGCAGGGGTTGAGTCACAGCTCCTGGCCCCGTCTCTTCACTTGTCGCTACTGGGTCACTCTTCCCACTTCATTAGCTTTATCATACCTCTTCTTAAAGCTATATATGGATCCTGCTTCCACTATGTCACTTTCCAGACTATTCCACTTCCTGACAACTCTGTGACTGAAGAAATACTTCCTAACATCCCTTTGATTAATTTGAGTCTTCAACTTCCAGTTGTGACCCTATGTTGCTGTGTCCCATCTCTTGAACATCCTGTCTCTGTCCACTTCATCTATTTTATATGTTGTTATCATATCCCCCCATCTCTACTGTCCTCCAGTGTCTTCAGGTCGATTTCCCTTAACCTCTCCTCGCAGGACATGCCCCTTAGCTCAAGGACTAGTCATGTTGGAAACCTTTGCACTTCCTCTAATTTCCTTACATGCTTGGCTAGGTGTGGGTTCCAAACTGGTGCTGCATACTCCAATATAGGCCTGACATACAGGGTGTACAGGGTCCTGAATGATTTCTTATTGAGATGTCAGAATGCTATTCTTAGGTTTGCTAGGTGCCTGTATGCTGCAGCAGTTATATGGTTGATGTACCTGGTGTTATACTCACCTTGAGATCATTCTCCTTGTGTGAGGTTTGTAGTCTCTGGCCTCCTAGACTGTACTCTGTCTGCGGTCTTCTTTTCCCTTCCCCAATCTTCATGACTTTGCATTTCGTGGGGTTGAATTCCAGGAGCCAGTTTCTGGACCAGGCCTGCAATCTGTGCAGATCCCTTTGTAGTTCTGCTTGGTCCTCGTCCAATTTAATTCTCCTCATTAACTTCTATTCCTTCTGTCATTTCATTTACATATACCAAAAAGAGCACCGGCCCTAGGACTGACCCCTGTGGAATCCTGCTCATCACAGGCACCCACTGTGACACTTCATCATGTACTATGACTCGCTGATGTCTTCCCGACAGATATTCCCTGATCCATTGCAGTGCCTTCCCTGTTATACCTGCCTGGTCCTCCAGCTTTTACACTAATCTCTTGTGCAGAACTGTGTCAATAGGCTTCTTACAGTCCAAGAAAATGCAGTCTACCTACCCCTTTGTTTTCTTACTGCTGTCACCCTGTCATAGAACTCCAGTAGGTTTGTGACACAGGATTTCCCATCCCTGAAACCATATTGGTTGTTGTTGATTAGCTCATTCCTTTCTAGGTGCTCCACCACTCTTCTGATAATCTTCTGTATGCTTTGCATAGTATACATATCAGTGACACTGGTCTGTAGTTTAATGCTTCGTGTCTATCTCCTTGTTTAAAAATTGGGACTACTTCTGCTGTATCTCATACCTCGGGTAGTTGCCCTGTTTTGATAGATGTGTTGAATATTGTTGTTAGTGGTACACATAGCGCCCTATCGCCTTTGAGGTGTCTAGCTTGCTTAGCAGCCTCTTTGCTTCTTCCTCGGTTGTATGTATTGTATCCAACACTTGATGGTGTACCCCAGCTCTCCATCTTTCTGGAGTCCCTTCTCTCCTCTGTGAATATTTCTTTGAATGTCATGTTGAGTTCCTCACTTCTCAGTCGTTTCTTGTGATCTTTCCTCCTTCCTTCCTCAGCCTGATTACCTGGTCCTTGACTGTTGTTTTCCTCCTGATGCGGCTGTATGACAGCTTCGGGTCAGATTTGGCTTTCACTGCTTTGTAATTTTCATATTGTCGTTGGGCTTCCCTTCTTATCTGTGCACATTTATTTCTGGCTCTACAACTGCTCTCATTATTCACCTGGATCCTTTGCCTTCTGTACTTCTTCCATTCTCTAACACACTTGATTTTAGCCTCTCTACACCTTAGGGTGAACCAAGGGCTCATCCTGGCCTTCTCGTTTGTCTCTTACCCTTGGGTACAAACTTCTCCTCAGCTTCCTTGCATATTGTTGTCACATTCCATCATCTCATTTACTGACTTCCCTGCCAGTTCTCTGTCCCACTGAACCTTGTGCAGGAAATTCTTCATGCCTGTATAGTCCCCTCTCTCGTAGTTTGGCTTCATTCGTCCTTCTCAGCCTGCTACCCTCTCCACATGTAACTCTACTGTGTATTTGAAGCTCAGAATCACATGGTCACTGTTCCCAAGGGGTCTTTCGTATGTGTTGTCCTCAATATCTCCACTACTTAAAGTTAATACTAGGTCCAGTCTTGCTGGTTCGATCTCTCCACTCTCTCTGTAGTGTCCCTTACGTGTTGGTACATGAGGTTTTCCAGTACCACCTCCATCATCTTAGCCCTCCACGTTTCTGGGCCCCTCATGTGGCTCCAGGTTCTCCCAGTCAGTTTCCTTGTCATTGAAGTCACCCACAATCAGTAGCTTTGCCCTGCTTGCATGAGCCCTTCTGGCCAGTTCAGCCAGTGTGTCAACCATTGCTCTGTTACTGTCATCATATTCTTGCCTTGGCCTCCTGCTGTTCTGTGGTGGGTTATACATCACAGCAATTACCACCTTGGGACCTCCAGACTGAAGTGCTCCTATTATGTAGTCTCTTGCTTCACCTATGTCTCCTTTCTCCAGCTTATCAAAATCCCATTGGTTTTTGATGAGCAGTGCCACTCCTCCACCCCCTCTGTTCCCTCTGTTTTTCCTCAGGCTCTGATATCCTGATGGAAAGATGGCATCTGTTATCATTCCTGTGAGCTTGGTTTCTGTGAGAGCTATGATGTCCGGTGATGCCTCTTTGATTCTTTAGTGCCACTCCTCCCATTTATTCGTTATTTCATCGGCGTTGGTGTACCATACCTTCAGTTTCCTCTCCAACACTGTGTTCTGGGGGTCTGTTGGGATGGGTTACCTGGCAGTGTGCTGTGGGATTCTACTACATAGTGTGTGTGTGTGTAGGGAGGGTGTGTGTGGGGGGGGGGAAATATGTGTAGGGGCAGTGTACTCACCTGCTTGTGGTTGCATGGGTCAATTCCTAGCTCCTGGCCCTGCCTCTTCACTGATTGCTATCAGGTCCACTCTCCCTGTTCCAAGAGACTTATTGTGTGTGTGTGTGTGTGTGTGTGTGTGTGTGTGTGTGTGTGTGCATGCATGTGTGCATGTGTGTATGTATACTGTGAACACTTTAGGTAAGGTGAGTGGAGGCAAATAGTTTTTATGACTTGGACGTACTGTTGGATTTCGAGTATGGTAACATTTCTGGAGGGATCCAAGAAAAAACAGTCTGTTGGACTTCAGTCCTAGAGATAGAGAGTACAGCGAGGGGTGAGGATGTTGCAGTTTGGGGGGTCTTCTGAATCATGTCAGCATGCTTCTGGCAAGGTAGTGACTGAATGAGTGATGATGAAAGTGTTTCTTCTTTCTCTGGCCACCCTACCTCAGTAGGAGGTGGCCACAGTGTTAAAAAAAACCTAATTAAAGCATTCTGTCATTCCAGTTATATTAATTGTGAGGATATAATGCCACTCAAACATTATGAAGATCTCAAAGAATAATACCATCATGTTTATTGATGAATAAGACACATACACAACACTACAGTATCTTATTTATCAACTTGTCTGTATTGTTTACCAATAATAATGTGATTCTTATAATTAATAATTCAGTGATACCATTCATTTCTCTTGTTAACAGGCATCGAAGCAGAAGTCGCTCTCGGGAGAGAGACAGAGGCATGGAGCGAGAGAGAGGAATGGACAGAATGGAACGTGACCGAGGAATGGATCGTGATAGAGGAATGGACAGAGAAAGAATGATGGATAGAGAAAGGGGAATGGAGAGAGAAAGAGGAATGGAAAGAGAAAGAGGGATAGAAAGAATGGACCGAGAAAGAGGAATGGAGAGAGATAGAGGGATGGAAAGGGAAAGAGGTATGGAACGTGATCGTGGCATGGACCGTGAAAGAGGCATTGAGAGGGAGAGAAAGCGCCATCGCAGCAGATCCAAAGAAAAGCGTCATCGATCTAGATCTAGATCTCCTGGTTAGTAATTTAAAAATGTTTTTTACCTTTGTTACATTTATTATCACTAATCTGTCTCCTTCCCAACACTGAAACTAATAAAATAATAATAATAATATCTTCATGGGAAAGTGGAGAAGAATTCTTCCTCCATAAGCCATGCATGTCATAGGAGACGACTAAAATGCCGGGAGCAAGGGTCTAGTAACCCCTTCTCCTGTATACATTACTAAAGTTAAAAAGAGAAACTTTCGTTTTTCTTTTTAAGTCACCCTGCCTCAGTGAAATATGGCCAGTTTGATGTAAAAAAAAATTAAAATAATAATAATTTGGAAGGTTGGAAGTGCAGTGCCTGCACTCTGCAAGAGAGAGTGGGATATAGTACAGAGGATAATTTGAGTGTTGATGTCTGTATGCTTCTAGCAAGACAGCTGTTGAATGATTTATTTATTTATTTTGATCATGCTAACTTGGTGGAAGATGGCCAGTGTAGTAGAAAAAGCAAATTTTTTTTTTCTCACCAAACCAGCCATATCCCACCAAGGTAGGGTGACCTAAAAAGAAAAATGAAAGTTTTTCTTAATAAATTTAGTAATGTATACAGGAAAAGGGGTGGCCCGGTGGCCTGGTGGCTAAAGCTCCCGCTTCACACACGGAGGGCCCGGGTTCGATTCCCGGCGGGTGGAAACATTTCGACACGTTTCCTTACACCTGTTGTCCTGTTCACCTAGCAGCAAATAGGTACCTGGGTGTTAGTCGACTGGTGTGGGTCGCATCCTGGGGGACAAGATTAAGGACCCCAATGGAAATAAGTTAGACAGTCCTCGATGACGCACTGACTTTCTTGGGTTATCCTGGGTGGCTAACCCTCCGGGGTTAAAAATCCGAACGAAATCTTATCTTATCTTATCTTACTAGCCCCTTGCTCCCAAAAATAATGTTTTAAAAATATGTAAATGGTAGTGTTGAGTTATCTGTGTACAATAGATAAAAGACCATAAATATAACTATCATTTCAAGCAGAATTAATGTATGACTAAACTTGTTATTAAAATATAACATTTCTAGGATTGTAACAGTTAGGAAAATAACTTGAATGCAAATGATATTTATTTATTTTTTATTAACACATTGGCCGTCTCCCACCAAGGTAGGGTGGCCTGAAAAAGAAAAACTTTCACCATCATTCACTCCTCTACTGTCTTGCCAGAGGCACGCTTACACTATAGTTATAAAACTGCAACATTAACACCCTCCTTCAGAGTGCAGGGACTGTACTTCCCATCTCCAGGACTCAAGTCCAGCCTGCCAATTTCCCTGAGTCCCTTCATAAATGTTACCTTGCTGACACTCCAACAGCACGTTGGAGTGTCAGCAAGGTGACATTTATGCTCTGGATAATAGTTTTGGTAATCCCGCACCTACTCCTAATTTCCAAACTACGAATTTTCTGCATCACATTCACACCACACATTGCCCTCAGACAGGAGAGCTCCACTGCCTCCAGCCTTCTCCTTGTTGCAACATTCACCACCCATGCTTTGCACCCATATAAGAGCATTGGTATAACTATATTCTCATACATTCCCCTCTTTGCTTCTATGGACTAAGTTCTTTGTCTCCCGAGACTCCTAAGTGCACCACTCACCTTTTTCCCCTCATCAGTTCTATGATTCACCTCATCTTTCATAGACCCATCCTCTGAGATGTCCACTCCTAAATATCTGAATACATTCACCTCCTCCATACTCTCTCCCTCCAATCTGATATCCAATTTTTCATTACCTAATTTTTTTGTTATCCTCATCACCTTACTCTTTCCTATACAGTGGATCCCCGGTTATCGGCCGTAATCCGTTCCAGAAGGTCTGCCGATAACCAATATTTCCCATAAGAATTAATGCAAATACAATTAATCTGTTCCAGACAAAAATATTCACAAAAAAATATTTTTTTTAACAATTATGTAAGTATTACATACCTTTATTGAAGGCTTATGCTGGCTTCTGGAAGACAGGGAAGAGAAATAGAGGAAAGAGTTTGTGTTTGAAAGAGGAATCCCCTCCATAAAGACTTCAGGTAGCAAAGCCTTCTCTGGGGTTACTTCCCTTCTTTGTCTGTTAATGCCACTAGGACCAGCTTGAGAGTCACTGGACCCCTGTCTCACAAAATAACTGTCCAGAATGCTCTGTTTCTGGCGTCTCTTTAACCCTTAAACGGTCCAAACATATATATACGTTCTCTTGTGCACTGCCCCGAATATTTTGAAAAAAAAAAAAAAAATTCCATTGAAATAAAGAGAAAAATTTTCTAGGTGTAATAGGATTAAAATAAAAAAATTAGGGTCAGTACTTACTGAGATATGAAGCTGCAAAGTTGGCACTTAATGCTCACCTGACGGCAACATCGAGTCCTTCCGCTTGAGGAAGTGTTGCTGATATACCATTTTTTCTCATTTTTATATTATTTTATATAATTTTTATATTCTGATAATTACAGTTTATTGTATTTCTTGGCATTTCATAACCAATCTTTGTTCTGACACTAATATTTGGTATTGAAATTGTACTCAAATTGTCACAAACACATTGACAGGTGGACATTTACACCTGCCTTGGTCATTTGCTATTCTTTAGGAATATATACAAAGTGTTTATAGGTCCCAGCAATTTTTTGGATACATGGGAGTATAGAAGAAGAAGAAGGAAGAAGGCAGGAGGAGGAGGAGGAAGAGGAAGAAGGAAGAAACTCCCTTGAAGTAATATGACAAGCATCCGGGAGGGCAGTGATGAGATATGGGGTGACATTTGATGGGTGGGCACCAGCGAGGGTGCAGAGATAAGGGATGACATTTGATGAGCTGGTATCTCTGTCTCTGATTATCTGTCTCTCTGTCTGCTTGTCTCTCTTTCTGTCTCAGAGAGAGCCACTGTGAGCCAAAAGGTATTCATATGCATTATAACTACAAGCACAGTAGAGCACTTTGGATTTTTTGGTTATCTTAGATAATTTACACTATGTATAATTGTATTTTAGTGTACCTGTGAAACAGATAAAAAGAGATAGAGACAGATGGACACAGATGGATAAACAGACAGATAGAGATAAATAGACAGAGATAGACAGGCCCTAAACTTGGGGTTAACATCACTTTCCTCTTAAAAGGCTAGTGTTAATATGACATTACATCAGTGAATCCATGGTGTTTGCCACACTGTTTGCTCTAGCTGGCACTCAATTTAACTGGCACTCCCACAAGGTACCAAGTGGTCTCAGATTTTTTTAATATGATGCACACTGAGTGTTAAGACCCATTCTATGCTGACCAGGCATTTCAGGCCAGTCGTGCCAAATTCGGAGGCAGGAAAATTAAAACATATATATATGGGGTGCTACACATAATAACGTTTGTATACGTTTGGACTGTTTAGGGGTTAAGATTTCCTTGAAGTGGGACAGAGTTTTGTCACTAAACATGTTGCAGATATGGCTTGTTTCAGCTTTGTCAGGGTGGTTTCTCTACAAAAGCTTGCACCCTAGTCCATATTGCACACACCTCTTTAGTCTCTGAAGAAGGCACCTCCTTCACTCCCTCTTCCTCCTCCTCTGAAGCAAGTTCCTTAGCTACAGTCTGTTGATGTTCAAGTTGAAGCTCTTGCAGCTCTTCAGTGGTTAGCTCTTCCCTGTGGTCCTCCACCAACTCTTCCACATCCTCACCACTCACCTCCAACCCCAGGGACTTCCCCAGTGCCACAATAGAGCCCACAAGGTCAGCAGGGTCAGGGTCAGGGTCAGCCTTGAACCCTTCAAAATCCCTCTCTTGTACACAATCTGGCCACAGTTTTCTCCAAGCAGAGTTCAAAGTCCTGGAAGTCACTTCCTCCCAAGCCTTACCTATAAGGCTTATGCAATGGAGGATAGTGAAGTGATTCCTCCAGAACTCTTTTAGGGTCAACTGAGTGTCCGAGGTCACTTCAAAGCACTTTTGAAACATTGCTTTTGTGTAGAGTTTTTTGAAGTTAGAAATGACCTGCTGGTCTATGGGCTGGAGGAGAGGAGTGGTGTTAGGAGGCAAGAACTTCATTTTTATAAAATTGAAATCCCTAAACACTTGGTCTTCCAAGTCTGGAGGATGTGTAGGAGCATTGTCCAGTACCAGGAGGCACTTGAGTGGCAATTTCTTTTCCAGGAGGTATTTTTTCACACTTCCATTATTGGTGGCCCTTGTTTAGTTAGAAAAGCTACTCCTTTTGCAACATTAGCATCTTTGATTTGCTCTTTCTTTGCCAGGATGGATGTAATTGTTGATTTATTCTTGCTGTACATCCTGGCAAGTTCCACCACCTTCATACCACTCTCAAACTTTTCTATCGCTTCACGCTTAAATTCCATGTTTTTTCTCACTTTCTTTACCAGAGAAACTTTCTTTGGAGCCATAGTTACTTATTTCACAGTTGCACTGCAAAAAAAAAAAACCCACTAAAAACAATGGAAAACAACCAAAATGTTTGGATATATGAGCAGAAGCTTCTTCAGCCACCGAGAGACAAAGCCAAACTGATGCGCAAGTGGCCCCAGCTGGCGGATGGATGCGTACCAAATGGCTCATAACCGGGTACCGAAAAACCAGCCCATAACCGAGTTGGCCGATAACAGAACCAGCCGATAACCAGGGGTCCACTGTATTCACTTCTAATTTTCTTCATTTACTTGCCCAACCAAACTCATCCACCAACCTCTGCAACTTCTTTTCTGAATCTCCCAAAAGCACTGTGTCATCAGTAAAGAGCAACTGTGACAACTCCCACTTTGTGTTAGATTATCTTTTAACTCACACCTCTTGCCAAAACCTGAGCATTCACTTCTCTTACAACCCCATCTATAAATATATTGAACACCCCGAGTGACATCTCACATCCTTGTCTAAGGCCTACTTTTACTGGGAAATAATATCCCTCTCTCCTACATACTCTAACCTGAGCCTCACTATCCTCATAAAAACTCTTCACTGCTTTCAGTAA